GAACAGGTGAAATAATGTACAAAAGTTGTAAATTTTAATTTTAAAAACAAACTAGATTTTAATGTGATTTTAATGTTCTAGAAAGAACATCTAGAGAAAATTCTAAATATAAGTAGAGATATTTTCAAATTCCAGCTTTTATTTACTTAGAAAATATTTTTAAAAAAATGTTAAAAAATTATTTACTGGTAAAACATTTTTTATTTATATTTTGATAATAACTTTGTATATAAAAAAAACTATTTATAGAAAATAATTTTTTAATTTAATTATAAATTTAAACATAAAATAAACTGTATAAGCTCTTAAATATAGAGAATTTTCCCTTGAACGTACTGAGCTAAGTGATTTCTAAGATTTGTTCAAAATTTATTTTAGGGAAAGCTAATAAACGAACGCTGCAATAACACCTCCTATAGAGACCTAATATTAAATTTCAATATATACAAATCTTGATTTTTAACTCGCCAGATGGCGGAAAAAGAGTGAATAACATAATGCATTCCAGATAACTCTCAAAAGAGAAGATAACTCTCAAAAGAGAAGAATATTTTCTTATTAATGTATGTCATTTCTTTCCGGAATCGGAATATAAGTGATAATAATTAAAAATTGAGTCGTTTTGAATCTTAGGAAATTGATAATAATGATAATAATATGTTAAACAATTATAATGAGAGAAAACGAGCGTAAATTTTATGATCTTTCTATTTAATGGTCATTTTATGATTTTAGAATCTTTATGCTAATTCAAAGTTATAAAATTTGAAACTTTCATAGCACATATATTTTTGCACTCATATTACTGTACATAATTTACACATATAACATATTTTTGATATAGGCAGCCATATTTTATAAACAACAAAAGAATTGAGTAATTTTAATGCAAGTTCTTTATTATAAAAAATAAAATTATCATAGGTAAGGTTTTCAATACCAATTACAATATGGTGCCTATTATTATTCAAAATCATGACTAAGTCATGATTTAATTTAATATAAACGGTAATTAACATTTACCCTCTTATATATTATATAAATTTAAGTAATAAAAATTCAGTCAGTCTGGCTACCTTTTATAATTTCATGTACAATGTAATTATAACTTATTATATTTATGCAATTTAATGGTATGACATTTAAATGTTTGACGATAAAAATTGTATATATACATATTTATATGTATGTGTGTCCAAATGAATTTTTATTGCATTGTAATTACTTACATGTATGCATATTATAAAAACAGAGTGAGTCAGTTTTTTTTTCATAAAAGTTTTTGTATAAACACAAAATTTTTGGAAAATGGTCCTGATGGTATTCTACCTTCTATGATGATATTCTAATATGAAAGCTGTGATATTTTTTAGTAAATAAGATCTGGTAGTTCAAATATAGAATTTATATTCGTTGCCAGCATCAAAATAAAAGCGAACTGTTATACTTTCCTGCCTTATGGGCGAAATACGATTAAAGCTATATTTTTGAATTATGTACATAATTAATTATTCGTTATGCATATTTAAACAGTTTCTAAAGGGTTGCTATAAAAATTTGTGGTTGCAATCAAAATTTGCTTAAGTCAACTTTTATATTATTTGGTTTTAATACAATTTCAAATTTATTATAATTTTATTTAGTATTCTGTCAAAATTTGACAAATTCATTCACCTAATTTCATAACGCCGAAATGAAGCAAAGAAAATTAGAATTTTTCTTCCATCATAAACAAAATCTAAAATATGTCTTTAATTTACTCGAAATGCCTACTACACCCTGCAAAATCCTTTGGTTACCATCATATATGCAATTCTTGCTTTGTGGAACACCCTACGTATGCATTTTCTTAAACTATTATTTTTATATCGTATAAATTGTTAAAATATATAAAAAAAAATATACAAAAATTTTATGTAAATTTTATTATACCTAAATAATTTTTTTTTTATTTTCACTTAACAACTACAACTCACACAAGTTTGTCGACCTTTATAATAAACGTTCGTAAGGGACCTATACTATATTTGTAAATATTCTAACAACTTTTTACTTAAATAATAAAAATGCAGATTGGATTTTTACTATTACTTTTGTTGTTATATTTTTTTTTGTTATTTACAAAATAATAATCACGTATTGTATGATAAAATAACTGTTTATTTGTAGGTATATGCAAAAAAAAAGAGTAAGAAACAGTTAATGTCGTGCAATCATCATGTATTCTAATATACCAGGAAAAATAATTTTATATTATTTAGCTGGTTACTATTAAGATTATGTGATAAAAACCAAAAGAAAAATTATTGTAGGTATAAAGACTCATATGGTGTTTTGTCGTTTACTTATTTGAAAATGGTAGGTTTTTAAATTCTAGATTTGATTTTTATGATTGTATTTTTTGTTTTTCATTTCCATTTGTTTTTTTTTTTTCTTTTTTAAAACCATGAAGGAACACGTAATATTGAATTTTTTTTTTAAACAAATGGATTTTTTCTCTGTGTATATACCATGGTCATACTGTTCTCATATGGAAAATTGTGCAGACTTTTATAAATTTCATTAAAAATTTATATTTAGCTAAAAGCAATGACACGTTTGTATGTTTTTTTTTATAATTTTCTGTTATGAAATGCTTATTGCACTACCAGACGGGACAGAGAGTATTGATTTTAAAATAAAAACTCTATTATACGAAAATATTTTATTGTTGCATTATAAAAATTAAATTTTAAATTTACATTTTCGTATATAGACGTTAATAATTTCCGGGTCCCTCAACTACACATTGAAAAATATAATAGTGAAAATCGCAATCTATGTAAAATTCACTTTAGAACTTATAATTTCATTATATGAAACTAGTTGGAGTTCTAAATTAAGTTGAATAAAATTATTTGTGAGAAATTTCATTTTGAGTCCTAAAACACTGTTGTATTTATTTACTGTATGATCCGTTGTGTAAAGAGTGGACTTTAATTTCTCACCAAAACTTCTGTATATGCATATGAGTATTATATAGCAATTTTATTATTCTCTTTATCAGTATTGCAGTATAAATTAGTACGTGATCTATTATCTACTATTATTATAAATTAATACGTGACGTGATGCACAAGTAGTATTATGGTGTCTCATAATATTATTGTACTCTGTATCTATGGGAAGATCTTTAAAGTACTTAAATAAATATTTTGGAAAAAAAATAATGTAGTATTTTAATTTATTAGCGTTTTTAAAGTATAATCGTTTACAATATTACCAAATATTGAAATTAATCAAGATCTTTTCTATATAAATACCCTAGCTAGATTTTATTTTTATTATAACACCGCCCGACCATGTTATTGGTACTGCTACTATATTATTATGGTACTGTACAAATAGAACAGAAATCGTGGAGTTCTATATGTCGCAGAGCGAAATTTTGGGATTCGAAGTTGTTCGGTCGAATACGATAAAAATCGGATATTTTCGGTTAGCTTTAAAAAAAAAGTTCAAATTCTTATACATGTTTTAATATAAGAAAAAGCTTGTACGTACATATATTATTTGTAATAATTATATAAAATAAATAATGTTGAAAATAATTTTGTTCTACAATTTCATATAAGTGTTCTACGATTAATTTTTCAGAATTATATAATAATTACTTAAAATCAGAATCCATTAGAGTTCTTCACATAATATTGTATATCAGTTTGCACAAAATATATCAGTATGTACACACAACAATGCACCAATATTTTTATTAAAAAATTAAAAAACTTCCATTTCAATTGAATTATACCAAAGAAATCATAATATAATAATTACGATAATATTATATTATATAATAATTATGAATAATATAGAAAATTTTTAACATAATTTTCTCCACAATTAAATAATTAATCATACTTTTTATCTTCTCTTTTTTTTTTAAGGAATTTTCTCTTTTTATCGTAATATTTTAAAATTGAAAAGAATTGTACAAATAATATCAATTATTTATACTTATTATACACGAGTATTATACATGTACATATATACTTATACATGTTAATTTATTAGTACATACTTGTTAGTTATTAATACATTAACAAGAATTAGTATAAATTCTTGTTAAAATGTAATGAATGTACATTCATACATATTAACTCATGTATGCCTAAAATGTATATTCAAGTATACATAGAATGTATACTTATGTATGTATACATACGAACGATACAAATACAGTATACCTTAAACAGGAATGTTGATAACATTATAATAACAGTATCAGTAACAGAAAATATTTATATATTTGCTGCTCATACTCATCTGTACATTGTATATACCGACACATTTGAAGTATGTACATATATTATGCTTTTAAAGGTAGAATATGAGAGTAAAAGTACCTACACAATTTTCTATTTATTAGTAACTTAAAAAAGTAATTATAATTACATTTATTTTAAGTACTCGTGTATATACACTTATATAATATCGTATGTACATTAATATTATATACTGATAATAATTTTATTAAATGTACTTTAATAAAAATTAATATTATTCACTTTTTAAGTTTTTTTAATGGAAATTATTTATATAGAATACAAGAATTTTAAATTTTGTGTTTTGGAAAATCTGGCAAAAGTTATAGTTGAATTATTCAAAGTAATTTTATATATGTACTTGGAAAAGAGTGTTATTGTGAAGATAAAATGTTCATTCAAAATCTTACTCTTTTACTCACCGGGTATACTCAACGAGTGAGTATTATACCATATTCATATGCTTAATGTAAACAGAGAGTAATGATTCTTATATCCTAGTTTAATATCAAAAATTATTCACTCGAGAATTGAGATGGTTCTTGTTTAGGGTTCAGACAGAGAAAAATATTGAGAATATAATTAAATTACCTATACTAAATAAATCCTAATAATTCGAATTATTTTTCTCCTACACTAGTTATAGTTACAAATAAATATTTTATAATAATAATGATAATAAAGAATTTCACTTACTTTGAGTCTGCTTTTAAACTGGTGCCGTTGTTTAAATTATTATTATTTGTATTAAAATTATTATTATTACTATTATTATTATTATTATTATTATTGTTATTATTATATATTAAATTATTACTATTATTATTTTGATTTAAATTATTACTGCTCTGATAATGATTATGATTTTTATTTAATGTACTCAAATTAATTATACTTTGACCATTTGTCTCTGATTGTCCTTGAAGTGGTGCCATCGGAGAGTCTGTTGTAGAACGTATTCCAATATTAACGTTATTTGTTGATCTAAAAAATATAAAATGAAATTATAGATTTAATTATTATATTAAGAATAATTATTCAAAAATAATTTTAATTAATCAAAATATAATAATTATACATACATTAGAAATTTTAAATTTTGTTTTAAAAAATTTTTTCTATTTAAAACATTATTCTTTGTATTATTATAAGATTTCATATTTTAATAATTACTTGTATATATTTTGTATTTATAACAATAATTACTTTGTATTTAATTATAATTTTAATTTTTTAAGTGAAAAACAAATACAAAATTATGTATGTTTCTATATTTATTTTTGATTGACATATAATTTTTTTTATATGATTAAATTATTGTGACTTTTATCACTTTTGATTTGTCAATTATTATTATTTAACCGTAATTATTAACTAAAATTGACATTTTCATCTTCTAATATGAATGAGAATGAATTCGATTTGACACGGTTATTTTATTATTATAAACTTTCAATATTCAATTTATGAATTATAATGGCATGTATATATGTATAAAATGTATGCACTATCAAGACACCTGATCAATAATTGACAATTACTTATAATTGTATATAATGTATAGAAAAACACTAATAACATTCATATTGAAATATTAATGCATTAAAAAAATTTAAGTGATTATATTTATTGCTAACTGTAGGAATTTAATTTTAATATAATAGTAAACAAGTCACTGTTAAATATACAATGTTAAAATTGAGTTCAATTGCTACAATTTACTTATTTTCTCTTTGAGAGAATACTTTGGTAATTTTAAAAAACTTACTACTTTGACAGAAGAATAGAAATATACAAGAGTATAAAATTTAAATTCAGTGTTGCATTTTTCTTATAGATTTGTAGCTTTGTATAACTGAAGTAACAGTGCTGCCTGTATAGGGTTTTATTGTACTCGCACTGATAGTGCCGAGTATGCTCCTACAACACAAGCTCGAAATCCGCCATCTTGATAAACTCGAGTAAAATATCTCAGTATTTCCCTTCTCTCACTTATAAAGCAATTATACTCTCTCAGAAGGTGTATTAAAGTTATTTTCCCCACAAAACCTGCAAGTGTCTTCATTTTCAAGTGTCATTTACGACATATTTTGGTTTATATACTTTCATTATATTTATCGCATTTTATTTTCTACCTTATTTATACGTTAAAATTGGAAAATCAATTAAATTATACAATCATTCGAAAGAAGATTTTCATATTATATTCATGTTACTCTCTCCTATACTTTCATACATATTTATGTACGTATGTCAAAGTATAAAATATATGAAATAGAAAACTTTACAAGGTTAAAGGTTATAATAATATTAAATGTCACTTATATTGTATCTGTTATAATTGTGTATAATAAAATATAAAGCTTACATATATGTATAGGTACTCATATGTGCATTTATAATTTAATAAAAATTTTAATATGATATATTTAGGTACTTACCTATGTACGTACATATTAAAATTATCTAACATTTATTTTCTACAGCCATTCACATATGTACCTATATGTACGTAATATACAGATGTCACTTTTATTAAAAATGTTATACAGAAATGCATAGGTACGTTTAGATGTGCATTAAAACTTTTAAAAATTTTTCAAATTTTTTTTAATTTCATTTAATTTTTGTTTTTTTTTATTTTTAAATTTAATTAAACGATTAGCTGAGTACTTGTCATTTATGACATTTAATTATTTAGAAAGGTTTTTGATTTTTAACAAAAACAAAAAATTTCATTTTTGAGTGACGTTTGTTAACCGTAATTATATCTATATGGACATATATCCACATATTTGTATATTATGTATGTATACATGTGTAAGAACAAGTTGCTGTACAAGTGTATACATTTTAATTAAATTAAAAAAAGCAATTTGGTAAAGAAATTGTTATCACAATAATTGAATGTGTTAAGTAAATATTTTATTCTGACATATACATATACATACATATTATAGGTATCGATATTTTCTTTTAGAAAATTTCTAGAAGCTCAATTTGAACGACTTTCAGGAGGCATGTATGTACTTACAAGAAGTTCAATATTTTAATTTGTACTTTTATTCTTAAAAATATTATTAACCAATAATTTATAAATATTAAAATTTTTCGTTAGAAAATTTAGATGGCGGGTAAAATACTGCATGGAATGCGAAGGAAATTTTTTTCGAAGAAAAACGTCAAACACTCCTGTGCCGCAGTTTCCATCGTAAAGAAATTTTAGGTAAAAAAAACTATATTTGATTTTCGCAAGCTAAAGTTATTTCAGAATTAATCAAATTTTGAGGTAACGATATTACGAAACGGAATCAATATACTTTTGGGCGAAATTCATTTTGAAGTTCGATGCCACTTCGAAAGTTTTCATTTGATATTTTAAACATATTCACGTCATTGACAATAATTGTATTTACATGACAATTCTATTAATACAAAATATGTGGTTTGATGGCAAGACGAATGAAATAGTATAATGATTTTGTCTTCAACATTAACTATTGATGTAAGATTCGCCGTCTAAACTTAACTTTTTAGCTTTTTATTTTTGACATTTATTTAACAAATGGTCTGTTTCGCATTTTGTTTTCAAAAACGTCAACTTTTTTTTCAAAATCTCAATTTATCAATTTTTTCTTTAACATCGATTATTTTTAAAATTAAATCGATTTTAAAATGTGACAACAATCTTTTTTCTCCCAAATTTTTTTGTTTTCTCTCATTTTTTTTTCTAATTTTCTAAAATACTGCACTGCAACGGAATAATTAAGTTGATTTTGCTTTTGGTTGAAAAAGAGAATTGAGTAATTCAAATGTCACGAAATATTTATAATAACTGTAAATTTTTTTTTGTTATATGGACCGTTTGTTTTTTTTACCACTTTATATTTTTGCAATTTTACTTTTTATGCTTTTCAATTTTAGTTGTTGATTTTTTTGTACGAAAAGCACAGAAATCGAAGATTAAATTTGGGTCAAAGCCGTTTTAATTTTTTCATATTCTCTTTTTTTTCGCCATCGTTTGGTTTTTAAGCATTTTGTAAATGAAGTTTTTTGGTTTTATCGGTTTTTTTTTTGCCGTATTTTATAATCGTGATTCATACTGTGTTTGATGAAACAATAAGTTTGTTATTTACGGATTTTGGTAAAAGTATAGGAGATACGATCATTATGATTGATGAAAATTTATGATTTTCTTCATTTTGATTTTTTTTTTTTGGGCACTAATTACTTATTTAATATTTGTCTGTGAAATCAAGTCCTTCATTTCGAATTTGTTTTGTTTTTTGTTGGTTTATAATGATTTTTACTTATTATATATTAATAACACTAAACGTTTAGTGTTAAAATTAAAAATAAATTAGTTTTTAAGTTGAAAACATTGCTTTAAAACAAAGCTCCAAAAATTGATTGTTTAAAAGATTAAAGCGATTTATTTATTGAAAGAAAACAATTTTTTTTTGTGTACTAAAACTTAAATTTTGCTTGTAACTTTTGGTAACCAACCAGTTTCGCAAGTTTTTTGTGCTTTGTTTTTGGTGTTTTTTTTGTTTTTGGTTCAAAATGTTAGTAATTTAGTCTTCACTATAGGAAATTGCTCTAGGCAATGTACAGAAAAAAAAGAATGTATTTTTTGACTATTTTTTTTCTTTTTTTGGTAATTAATTTAAAATTTACGCTTTAATTTTAATTTTGCTGTAATGAATTGTAAGTATGTATACATATAAGTATAGGCTTTTCATATAATAAAATGTATGAGATTATTATAATTATGATCAGATTTATGTTATACATTCAAGGACACAATTCTTATATACTTGTGTGGGGAAATAGTAAATATATGGGCATTAAGTAAATCCGCATTATAAGTAATAAATGAAATAATCATTTACAATTTGTGATTAATTTAAAATTGAAAAATGTGAGGTTATGAAAAATTATAACAACAAGCTTTTTCTTGGCTATATTGAGATTTCTGATAATTATAATAACTGTGAAGACTCTATTTATAGCCATAGTATTTAAGAAATCTTAAAAATTAATTTAAAATTTTAATTTTATAAATTTAATCACATATAAAATTATAAATTTTCCAGGTGGCGACATCTATAGCAGTTTTATTTAATAATCTTTAAAATAAAGTAATTTGAACAGAATTTATTAAAACAGTGATGGGTCAAGTCACAAATATTCAAAATTCAAAATTGAAATGAGTATGTTTTTAAAATTTAAAATTGTTTTTTTTTTTTTGACAGATATGACATCTGACGCGTCAAATTTAAAAAAACTACTCAATACAAAATGTATAAGTAAATCAATAAAGAGTGACATTATGTTGACATATAACTTAAATTTTTATGTTAAATTTAGAAATTTCATTCAATTTTTTCATATACTATATGTTGCTCCTATAATTATGACTTATAATAAATGAATTTGAAACGCAATAAATTCAAACTAACACTATATAGTGAATGAAACTAATGAATGAAATTAATCTACAATTCTACAAAAAAAAAAAAAAAATATTATTTTTAGAACACAAATTATTTTTGTTCTAAATATTGACAATTACTTACAAATAAATAATTGATAATACTTAAAATGTTTTCTTAATTTTCTTAAAATTTTTTTGTTGTTCCCAAAGAAGTTCATTTAAATTTAATTAAAAACAAAATAATTCATAACACATGCCAAGATAATAATATTAAAATTACGTTTTAAATTGAAGTATTGTTAATTACAACTGCTGCTGTCACGTATAATAAAATTATTATCACACCATTAAATTGGAGAATAGTATACATATAAATTTCTCAATGGTTAGGGTTATATAGCTAAGTTTACCATAATTTCATATCGTTAGAGCTTACTTTATATTTAAGTACATATAAGTACTACTATATTTAGTATACAAAATAAAATATAACAGCTAGAAATATAAAATGATAACCTAATTTTAATAAATCCTTCAACTGATGCCT